AATGCCTCCCTCTCTCCCATCTCCCACAGCACAAACCGCAGCCCCATGGACCCTACGCATGTGGTATACTAGCTAATGCTGACAGGTGTCTGTGTGTCTCCAGTTTTGCTAGGACAGGCAGACAGAACAGTGACCACTCAGGGCATTTTGGAGCTAATCAGCAGGTCAGCTGATAAGCTGTTTAAGAAGAGTTTGAACTAATGGAGAGAGGCTATTGTTTTGCTGATAAGCTGATAATCATTGTTATCAGCCCCTTGCTTGCCTGTCAGTTTGCTGCAGATAGTGTAAAGAAGCAGGGAGGGAGATTGAAAAGCTCCATATCATCAACAGATGTATGTACTGCACACCCCTGCTTTGCCTCAGTGCTAACTGGGGGCTGGCAACCCTCCTGCCCCTTGAGCAGCCAGTGGGGAAAAGCCTGGGATGGCACAGTCAGACCTCCCTAATCAGAGGTCCTGCTGGGGCCTGGCCATGCCCCCCCTCAGCTCAGTACAGTGCAAGGGAAGGGAGGGCTGCACTAGCACCCCCCAGCTTCTAATATGAGCCACTGCATGCATGTGCCTGAATTTCCTCAGTCCAGAGAGAGTGTCTGTCCAGTTACAAACCAGTTCAGCCTAGGCAGGGTAGACTAACCTGCAAAGATTGAATCAATTCAGGCTCAGGCTTTTTGAATGTCTGTCCCTAGCCTTTGAGACTTATTTCCTTCCTCAAGAAACTGAGGTTTCCTAATGCTTGTTTTCTTTAGGATAGTGTCAGCAACATTTTCTGATGGTGGGCTGGAATAACCCAGCTTGGGTCAAAGACCAGTTGGCACTAGGACCCAGTCACCGTTGCTTCTCCCTGCTGCCACTTCATTCTGCTGCCTAACAGTGGTGCAGCGTCGGCAAAAGTGCCTAGCCATGGGGTGGTATGATGCAGTGCTGGCAAAGCTCCCTGCCACTAAACCCCCACTCTGCAGCCTGGATTAAATAATTCCATGGGCCGATCTGGCCCTTGGGTCATAGGTTCCCAAACCCTGCTTTAGGGGAAAGCTGTTGGGAATCGTACATGGTTGTCTTGCATAGTGGCAGAGCATTCATATTCATAGCCATTCATATCTTTTTGTCTATTCCATTCCATTCAGTACCTATTTAGAACAGGGGTTTGTGATGTGTTTCTGTCTATTCTGTATAAACCTGAGGGCTTTGGCACTGGTTACCTGTATTATGTCAGAAATCTGTGCATTGTTGTGATGTCATAAATTTAAGGCAGTTTCAGAGCAGGCACAGGTGAAGACTTCAGGTTGTTTCAGACCTGCATGACTGATTTGCCCCTGGAAGGCCTGGTGAACAGGGGCATGGCGAAGGTACCTGGGAGGGAGGCTTGTTACCCGGGAGGGAAGCTGCTTCCCCAGGGCTCTCTGGTCTGGCTGAAACTGATTCAGCAGCTCTGTGCTGAGAGTGGGGCCTCTAGGGCTTAAGCCCCAGAGGCCCTGCTCTCAGCGCAGGTGGGCCACACCAGAAAGAACCACGGAACCCTAGGGAAGCAGTTTCCTTGGGGCTCTTTGGTCTGGCTGAGCTGCAGCCACTCCTCACTGAATGCAAGGCCTGCTGGGCAGCCAGACCCTTGGGCCCAGGGAAGCATGCTTTCTGTGGCTCCTGGGTCTCACTGCAGCTGAGTGCAGAACTGCCAGGCAGGGAGACTCTGGAGCTCGGGAAAACATGCTTTCCTCGGCTTCTGGTACAGCATCTTGTTGTAGTTAAGCCAATAGATCTACAATGAGTCTGGAGCCTCAATGTGGCAAAACCCTGGAGCCTGGGAAAGCATGCTTTCTCACAGCAGTTAAGCCAGAGCAGCCTGGTTGCACTAAGCATGAAGGGGTAGGTGGAGAGGGGAGACCACTAGCCATCTCCATCTTGTAAACCTCTAGAGTGGCTGGACAATATGCATTCTGGGATTGTGGAGGACTGCAAATTGATTGTTTTATCTCCTGGGAGCTGTCTAACAGTTCCCTGGAATGACTTGGGCAGAACTGATCAAGGATAAACCTCAGCTGGAATGGCTAACTTTAAAACATTTAGAAGATACTTATCACAGTTTAATACCTTTTAACTAATGTGTCTGCTCTCACTTTAAGTGCCTTTATGCCTGTTTTAAGGTAACCTGTGACAAAGCCCTTAGTTAAATTATTGTAACTGCGTGCCTTTAAAATGGCAAAGTCACTCCTTTCAATAATTGATGTCCATTATTTTGGGCACAGTTGGTTTAAAGCAGTTTCTGCGCTAGAAAAATGTTATTTCTAAAAATTTCTCAGATGAAACTTTGAAAGAAACAAATTTATGGATTACTATGACTGGCAGAGATATGGTCAGTAAATTATGGTTGGATCACTTGCAGTGCTTACTTCTTTGATTAAGCTCTGTTTTTAGAATATAGTAACAGTTGTTTAATGATCATTATGCTACCACCTTCTTTGCCAACCATTTATATGTTATGAAAGTATTACTCTACTTTTTTGACAGCAAGTTAGTATTTTAATAAAAAAATGTATTAAATGTTCTAATGCTATACAATAAGAATTTTAGCTAGCTATGGGTCATTTGAGGTGGTAAGCTCGCAGGTGCAATCCCCGTCTGTCACTTAAAAAAAAATCTCTTAAAGCACAAGGCACTAGCAGCTGTAATTTTTCTAATCATTATAAATTTGCTACCAACAATACTTTCATTGCAGTAGAACTCTTGCTAGCTTTTAACACTAACTGCTGTACAAAGGAGAGTAGAGGAATATGAGATTGAGATGTACAGATGTTCTGTTCCCGCTGGGAAAACTGTCACTCTCCCGATAAAAACCATGAGTGTACAGATGTTCAAGCTTTTTCTCCCAGAGCAAAAATGGCTATTCTGGGAGAGAAATACATTTACTCCAGCCAATTAGAATTTGCTTGGAGGAGAGTTTTTCTGGGGAGAATAAACGTTAATATGCTTTCCCACAGGTTAAGTCATCACGAGGACTAGGAGTAGTAGAGCCATAGGGAAAGGCTCCGCTCAGAGGAAGCTGCTCCCACTCCTTCCATAAACCAAGAGGGGAGGGGTGGAGCAGCTATGAGCTGCTCCTCTCCAGCTCTTTGCCCATCAGAGTCCCCCAGTATGAGAGATGGGTAGGAGTCTTTGCCTTGATATCTGTTCAGTTTGCAGGCACCAGGAATGGCACTGCCAGCCATCTGCCTGATTCTCACTCTGGAGTCCCTAGAATGAGAAGTGGGCAGGAGTCTTTGCCCCACTATTACCTCCACTTGGCTTCTGGGCACCAAGAGGAGGAAACAGTGCTGCAAGCCTCCTGCCTGCTTTGCATACTGGAGTCCCTGGTATAGGAAGTGGGCTGGGGGCTCCAGAGTGAGAAGTGGGCTTTGCCCACTTCTCCAATCCCCTTGGAAATGGGAGGACTGGAGTAGCCCACACTTTCCCCTGACCATGATAATCCTAGTCTCGGGAAGGCCCAAGGAGCAAGGAAATTGGGTGGTTACAGGGTAAACTCTTGTACAACTCCCTCTCTAGGAATCATTTCTAGCCATGGAAATTTTCCATGGCAAGAAGTGAACCCTTGTACATGGCCTAAGTATAGAGAATGGGATTGGTGTGGGGTCATTAGGGTTTAGGAGCGAGGAACACAAGAAGAGCTCAAAGAACAAAAAAGTTAGAGACACAAGAAAAGAAAGACCTAGAAAATTTATCTCACCAGAAACAGCGCCTCTTCTCAGGCACAGACAAGCACTGCCTCCAGAAAAGCCAGTGCAGGCATCAGGAAATGGCAGGAACGATATGGGAGGGCCGGATCACCTGACATAAGGTAAGAGAAACAAACAAAAAAAGAAAAAATAGGGTGCAATCCTTCTTTAACATTTTAAATCCTTCCTCCCTTCCCCTGCCTCCTCTGCACTCCACCCCCCCCCCCCCCCCCCCCACCCCCCACCCCACCCCCCCGCACACACACACACACACACACACACACACACACACAATGTTTTTGTCATTGGTGAGAAATTATCCCACTTATATCTTTGCAAATGTACCCTACTTAGAGCTGCTATGTGGCTTCTTGGATATACTCTTATGCCTAGATATTGCAGCACATATTTTCCTTCATTTGGGAGTTTGAGAACAGGTGGTAATCCTAGTATTTGTGTGTGTGAAGCTAAAATTGAACATGATGATTTTTTAATTGTATTTAGTGTTTGTATCGGCTGTACATCGTAATACCCAAATAACTTTTTCTCCACGGTATATAATAGTAATGGTTATTTAGGAATATGTTAGCTGTTGTATCAGATGATTAAAAATAAAAACTCTACTACTAAATAAAAGATGAAAAACAAATACAAACAGTGGCGATGCATAGGGGATGCATGGGGGGGTACATATGCACCCCCTGAGAGTGCTGGTGTACCCCCTGACCAGTCATGCTCGCTGCTTAGGCGATGGGCAGAGGGGGCAGGCGGGAGCGCCAGTGCCCTCCCAGCAAGTGCCAGCCGATTGCTACAGCCACTCCCAGACGTGGTGATCGGCCAAGAGGGGACCCTCCCTCCTGGTCAGCGGGACTGGTCACAAGGGGGCAAGTGCCCCCCCCCCCGGACTAAGGTGACACAGTCGCCCATGAATACAAATGTTTAATTTGAAAAAAAAAATGGAAATGAGTGTACACAGCATGAATATTCCTGTATGGAAAATGTGTAATGAAAGAGTTCCTCTTGTGAAGAACACTTTTGATGATGTCTCTTATTTTACTTCAGTTATTTTATTTTGTTTTTAAGAAACTGTGGTTTAAATGGAAGGTTAAAGCTCATTCAGTAGGTTAATGATATTATATATAATCCTCAAACAAAACAAAAATAGAATCTAGTGGAAATGATTTAATACAGGGGTGTCAAGTTCTCCCAGCTCTCTGGGCCAAATCTGGTTGTGTTGCAAGCCAGATGCAGACCTACAACCAGTAGCATTTGGGTTAAAACAGCTATTGATTTCCAGGCCCCCCAGAGCCCTGCAGGCCAAGGAAAATATCAATATTGTTGACACTGTTGATTTAGTACATATGTAAGACCATGGCTAAATACAGTAATCATTTAGAAATTTTTAGCAGCTTAGCAGAGAAAGATCTATCAGTGTTTGTAATAAATTTAAAACACTGAAAAAACTCTTTGAACAGATCACTTCCTGGATCATGAACAAATTTATAAGCATATTCCAGGCTGGCTTAACCAGCCACATTTCTGTTATTTTTTTGCTGAGTAGTATGTTTCTTAGGTTATATTATAAGGTTATTAAAAACGGTATCTCTTGAACACTTTAGGTATAAAATTGAAAAGTTTAATTTCCAATCTGGGTGTAAAAACTCATCTTCTCTATTCAAGTAATAGCTGATGTAATAACTTTTTTTTCTGTCAAAATTAATTTTTTTTACTTTTCCTTCGCACTTCCCTAGAGCTCCTGTACGACACCAGTGTCATTATCTTCTACTGATCTGTGCTTTTTAAATATTAAATTTATTCTTATGTGTTAGCACATTGAACTTGCACCTCATTAGTCAAACTTGTTTTCCAAACTTCCTGGTGTGGAGGCAGGAGAGTTTTTATTTTATTTTATTTTATTTTATGTTTTATTTTTTTATTTTTAGCAAATTCCAGAACTTCTGCTAGATTTCCAAGTAAGCATTTTTGTCTTTTGGTCTGTAGCATACTGAATTGATAGTAATGGAAAAGTTATCCTAAAACTTCCCAAGGTGGTTTTTTTTGTTTTGTTTTTTAACCCAGTCAGTGATTTTAGGGGTATCACTTCTTTTCCAGGCTTTTGCAGTTGCAATTCATGCAGCCACTGGAAGATGTGATCAGTTCCCTGTAACACGTATATTGCAGAGTTCTCAGGAAGGTTCAGTAGGGCCAAGGGGTTATCTGATAGTTGATATACTGTTAGTTCCCTCACCATGTCTCCAACCTTTTTTCCAGAACAGCTTAATTCTGGCATGTGTCATGCCACATTTGGTAGAATCCTTCCAACTGACGACACACCCTTCAAAATTTGCGTGTTTCTATACCATGTATACATTTAAAGTGGGGTGAAATGCTATTGATATAGCATTTTTTAGTAATTTTCTTTTATTACAAGGCAGCCAGATATGAGAGAACCACTTTTCCAGATGACCTCCCCAAAATTCTTAATTAGTTACTGTCTATTCTAATTTTATTACTAAAAAAGAGAAAATGAGCTGTTGTATGTCACAGTGGAACTCTCCATTAGGACAAAGATATCTTGCCATTTTGAAAATCATTTGTCAGCATTCTCTGTTTTACAGTATTCCAAGAAATGTTCAATAAATGTCAATGAACATAGAAATGAGTAGGAAAAATATCTCTAATTCTGTGAATTAGCATAACAAGGGGTGAAATTTCAGAGATCTTAAAATATTTTGAATTAATATCTTTTCAATATGTGCAGAACAAACTTTAACCCATATTTCTTTTTTTAATTGCTGTGTATAGTTAAACAAATAAATGCATTTGACAGTCTCAAATCTGCTGGTCTCAAAATAAATTCCTGACACTTGTGAAAGAGAGTTAGATGCAGCCTAAAAAACATGCCTGTGGTGACAGCACAAGAAGAAACAAAGTATTATTTTATTAGGCAGTGGCTTCTAAAGCGAGATACAAATGCACAATTAGTAGTGAGTAGCTTAATAATTGGTCCCTGACATATTTTGTACCTATATCTTTGGAAAAGTTGAGTTTCTGTTAGTATATTTTATTGGTTATATTTTCATTTCTGGTAAAGATAGGAGTAGGTTATACCTGTTAAGAATTTCCAAATGGAGCTGCATCACATTTTTTCTTCCTTTTGTTGATTGAAAACTAAACAAATTCTGTTCACCATATGAAAAATGTGGTCCTTTGAATTCAATTCCTTGGAGAATAGTGATGGTGTGAATAAAAAGATGTATGAATAGCTGTTGTTTGGTTAAAGTGGAACCATTCACTGTTGCTGGATCATTCAGGTTATACAACAATTCCACTCATGTGCATGCATCCCACATCCATGACATTGGTCTACAGCAGGGGTGGGCAATTATGTCAGCTGGAGGGCTACTTACTAAGTTTTGATGAGCTGTGAAGTGCCACAATGGTAGCGCTGTCCCTTGACAGGTGCCCTGCCCCCTGGTCACCATTTTGGGACCAGAAGTCCTATCCCTAAGTCCTGATTTTTGTCACCAGAAGGCCCTCCCTTTGCCCCTCAAAGTGCTCCTTTTGGAAGTTGGGGGCGGGTGCCGTCTTGGAACAAAAAGAAAACAAATTTGGCTTGCATCCATAGATGCTTCTCAAGTAAATCTCAGGATGTCAGCACTCAGCCTTGGTGAGGCCGCAGCTGGGGTACTGCATCCAATTCTGGGGTCCGCATTTCAAGAAGGATGTGGAGAAGCTTGAGAGAATGTAGAGAAAAGCCACTCGTATAGAATAGGCCTTATGAAGAGAGTCTGAGAGCCATGGGACTCTTCAGCCTGGAAAAGTGCAGGCTCAGGGGTGACCTAGTGGCAGCCTATAAGTACATAAAAGGCTTGCATCAGGATCTGGGGGAATGTCTGTTCACCATAGCTCCCCCAGGGACGACAAAGGACCAACGGTCACAACCTCCTCCAAGACCATTTTAGGCTGGGCATAAGGAAAAACTTCTTTACCCTCCAAGCCCCCAAAGCCTGGAATAGACTGCCTCCAGAGGTGGTGCAGGCACCTACTCTGAACTCTTTTAAGAAACATTTGGATGTTTATCTTGCTGGGATCCTTTGACCCTAGCTGAGTTCCTGCCCCTGGTGCAGGGGGCTGGACTTGATCTTTTGAGGTACCTTCCAGCCCTAACGTCTGTGAAATCTATGAAATATACTAAAAATCAAACATCTACTCTAACATATTTCAGTTTTATTTAAAAAACTATTTTTGTCCTCATTTACATGCATTTATGTAGTATGTATATACCGGTGATTTGCATAATAGCTCAAAATAAAGGCTTATTCTTGTATATTGTGTGTAGGGTGTGGTGGGGGGGTGTGGATGGGTCGGGGTTTGTGGGGGTGTGAGATATGTTTGGATTGGTATGGGGTTTGTGGGGAGGTGAAGTGTAGCTCTTGGGGAGGTGTGGCTGTGTGTGGGGGTAGGGGGTGGAGTTTGTGGGGAGGGTGTGGGGAAGCTGTTCTGGGAGCCGCAAGTGGTGCCAGAAAGTGGGGCTAGGCCACCAGCTTTATTGTGTAGGACTCCCCATGCCTCGCATGTGGCTCTTGGGACTCAGCTAAAGCCATGCTCTGCGGGGGGGAAAGGGGGAAAGCTCAGCACGATGAAGCTGGCAGCCTGGCCTCACTCCCTAGTGTCACGTGCAGCTCCTGATTCTTTGCTGGGAAGCAAGCGGCAGGGCTGAGCCAGCCTTTCTCCATTGCATGGAGCTCCCTGCCACTTCTAGCAGAGTCCCAGTTTCTGCACATGGTGGCAGGGAAGGCTGCCAGCTCCATCATTCCAGGAGCTGCACATGAGCCTCAGGGAGCCCCGCACAATGGAACTGGTCTGACCCAGGCTCCATGCTTCCACTGGGTGTGGGCCCTGCACTCCAGGCTGCAACACTCCCACTGGCCTCTGCTCTGCACTTCTACCCAGCTGCAGCTTCCTCCATGCCTGCTGCCACCTCCCTACCTGCTTCTTGGAGTACTGCAGTAGGGACACGAAGAGGAGCCACTGGAGGCAAGGGGAGCCAAGCAGTTCCCTGGGCAGTGGCAGCAGCAAACCCACCTGGAAGCTGTGCATTGGCCAGGGCTGCGGCTGT